TCTCTCTGTAGTTCCCCTCCTCTCTGTACTTCTTTCCCTTTCTCTTATTCTCCGTCTCTCTCTCTCTCGTTCTGGCTCTCTCTCTAGTTCCTTTCCGTTTCTTTATTTCTTTCCCTCTCTCTTATCTCCTGTTTTTCTCTCTCTGAGTTTTCGTCCTCTTTAGTTCTTTTCTCTTTCTCTCGTTCTCCCCCTCTCTCTCTCGTTCTCCCTCTCTCTTTCTTTCTTTTGCTCTCTCCTCTTGTCCTCTACCTCCTCCCCTCTCTCTCTAGTCTTTTGACTCGTGTCTGTTTCTCTCTGTTTTTGTTCACCCCCTTACAGCGAGAGGCTTCTTTCTCGATGTATTAAGATTCCCTGCAGACTTGGAAAGCCGCGAGGCTTGGCTGACATTCAGAAGTGCTCGAGGGAATTTTTTCTTTCTTTCTCATTTTTTTTTAAAAAATGAAACGCTGCTGGTTATTATTTTTTGAGAGTCCCGTTTGAAACCAAAGCGTTTTTTTTTTGTTTCCGAAAAATAAACCAACAGTTTGGGGCGAGAGAGGGACTTGTAAGTAGGCAGGGTGGCATTTCTCTAACTTTTTGTCGGTCTGACTGTGCAATTTGGAAGCATTTTCTGTGTTGAAAGGGGAGGAGACAGAGCCATTCTCTCTCCGAGTGTGATGAATGAGGACATTCGGTTGTCTCCTTTCTCTCCCCCAACTGCTCTGAGCTTTATCTGTAAGCCTTTAGTTGTATAGGGGAAAGGGAATTAATATGGAGAGGCAGGCAGAAATGGTGGGGAGGTTTTTTTTTGGGGGGAGGGGATGTGGGACGCAATTGAACAATGAGCAGCCTTTTTGCCTGAAGTAAGTCTGTGGCCTTTTTTTGTTGTCAGGAGTATTTGTGTTTCTTTAGCATCGGAGGCCTTTTTTGCTGTAGAAAGTAATTCTTCAATGTGTTGGTACAGTTTGGATTTTAAGATTTTCTCTACAAAACAGCAGTAGTTCTGACAGGCTTATCATGGGAATAGGAGCTTATGGCATAGCTGTCAACATCAGGGTTAATCCACGAATGAGAGCTTTCCTACCTCAAATCCAGAGAGGGGAGAGTGAGGCACTTGGTGAATGTGGAAGGACTGAATAGAGCAGTCTTTTGTCCTATTATTACCTCTTCCTCCATCCTGACTTTCTCTCCTTTCCCACCCCAGCCCACCTTCACTCATTGAGGTACAGTTTCAGTGCTCCACCCAAGCAGCCATTAATTTGTGGGACACTGCATTCATTTTTCCTGGGCCTATAGGCCAATATAGCAGCCATTCTCCATACAACAAGGATCCTTAATGCATCCATTAGGACAGAATGCTAGCTAAACTGTTCGTCCTGACACTGCTTGCTGAGAGGTGTTGATCAGAATGCGGAAGCAGGCCATTTGGCCCATCAAATATACACTGACACTCCGAAGAGTTTCCCAGCCAGACCCACCCCCTACCCTATCCCTGCATTTCCCACCCTAGACAATACGGTCATAGCCAATTCACCTAACCTGCACATCTTTTGGACTGTGGGAGGAAACTGGAGCGTCTGGAGGAAACCCATGCAGACACGGGGAGAACGTGCAAACTCCACACAGATAGTCATCCGAGGGCGGAATTGAACCCGGGTCCCTGGTGCTGTGAGGCAGCAGTGCTAACCACTGATCCACCATGCCACATTGTCTGTTGAATCTTGCAGTGTGCAAAGGAGTTGCCATGTCTCCGACAGCAAAACAGATTCAATAGATAATGTTGAGCTCACTTGGCCTATGAATTAACTTCCTGAAATCTTTTGAGATACCCTACTGGGCCCTGGTTTAATATCTTTCCCAAAAGTTGGCACCTGCAACAGTTTGAATACCAATGTTGGGGAAAATTTCCAAACTTTGAGTCAAAAGCTGCTTTAATCATTCTGACACTGAAAGTAAACAATTGGTGTTGGTATATTTGATTTTTTTTTAACGTTCCACAAATTTTCTCCTCTCTTAAAAGTCATTGCCTTGGATTTCAATTTCACAGAGCGAAACCATTAATTCTAGTTTGGTTTCTCAGTGGATTCACCAAACCTGCTGTGATCTACACATGGACTTGGACTGGGTCACAGAATCTACACAACCTTTGTAACGATGAGCCACAATTGTGGATGGCAGGATTGGTGAATTTGCCTTGTGTGTTTCATGCTGAGGTTCCTCTCAAATGTGGGAGAATTACTGGCCAGGCCTTTGCCAGTTTTCTTCTGTCAATTTTCTGTTATCCCCTCTTCACTTATTGGGAGCATACAGTTCCAACCAGCTGCTGCATTTGCCTCTTGAGGTTGTCCAGGAGTTCCAGATTCATGTTTAACATGGGACCGAAAGAGAGAGGCAGGATTCCCCAAGGGTCTTGAGCAATTGATGTTATTAGGCAGCCTTTTTCATTTGACAATTTCATTTCTCCATTTGTTCTTTATTTTGTTTGCATTCATGGGACTGGATAGGCCAGCTTTTTATTGCCCTGGAGACAGGAGTGGGAGTAGCCTTCTTGTACAGCTGCAAGTGAGGTTAGCACTGCTACCTCACAGCACCAGGGACTAGGGTTTGATTCTACCCATGGGCGACTGTCTGTGTGGAGTTTGCACATTCTCCCCATGTCTGTGTGGGATTCCTCTGAGTGCTTTGGTTTCCTCCCACAGCCGGAAGCTGTGCAGGCTAGGTGGATTGGCCGCGCTCAATCATCCCGTAGCGTCCAGGGATGTACAGGCAAGGTAGATTAGCCAGGGGAAATACAGAGTAATATTAGGGGAAATGCGTCTGGGTGGGATGTTCTTTGGATGGTCAGTATGGGCTGAATGGCCTGCTTTTACACTGTAGGGATTTTATGTTTCTATGGTGTAAGTACTCACTGTCCTGTGAGGAAAGAAGTTGTAGGATCTCAATTCAGCAACAGAATATTAATTTATAGCTTGAGGTGCTCATTGCAGATAATTCAGAGGAGAACTTGCAATCGATGCCCTTGAACATCTCAGTGGAGTTTGCACATTTTGGAAGGTGCTGTTGAGGGAGCATTGGGAAGCTGCTACAGTTCCTTTTGTAGATGATACACAAACTGCAACTATGTGCCAGTTGTTGGATGGGCTGTTGATCAAGTGGGCTACATTGTTCTGCATAGTGTTGACCTCCCTTGGTGTAGTTAGACATTTGCTCATCCACAAGAGGCAAGAACTCTATCACGCTGCTGACTTGTACCCTGTAAATGGGGAATTGTTTGCAAGAGTCATGTGGACTCCTTTAGGCTTTGGCTCCTTCAGAGGAACTGAGTGAACTACTTCCTTGACCAGCCAACAACAAATTTTCTTTAGCTTGCACCAGTTTTGTGGAATTGCATCACAACAATAACCAGCAGCTTATTGTGTTAAAGATGTCATGTAAATGTAAAATATCGTGTTGTCAAAGAAACTTTAATGTCAGCCCAATTAAGGAGATCACATGCTTGGTGAGAGAGTAGGTTTTTAAGGAATGCCTAGAGATGGAGAAATATGAAGCTGCAGAGGGGTTTAGAGAGGGAATTACAGAATTCACAGTGAAGCAATTCAAATTGGATAGCCAATGTGTATGAGTAAGCAGGGGTTTTCAGTGAACAGGATTTTGAGAGACTCTGGAAACGTACAGTGGAATTTTGGATGATCTTGACTTTCTAGATGGTGAAGATGGGACAGTGCTCAGGGGCTAGAGGTTGACTTAGAAGTTTCAACTTGCACCTCTACCTCTCTCATCATTTCAGACAACTCCTAAAACTTTGACCTTTGACTGAACATTTGGTCTTGTGTCTCCGAAAGTGCGATGTGGTGTGCTTCAAACTTTGTTTGATAAGGTCCTTTCTCTCCTTCTGTATTCTCTCTACTTCCTTTTTAAAGCTATTGGCCCTCTGGTGGGATGTAGAGATCCTCACTCCAGTACCTTGCTCAAGTGTCCCTCATTCATATGGGTGTGTCAGCAGTAGTTAGGAGGACATCATTGCTAAATCCAATCTTTCCCTCTGCGGCATCCATATTATTTGGCAGAAGGCAGTCACTGCCAGTCATAAGCTGTAAGGAACTCTATCTGATTTGCATCCATTCCCAAATCCAGTGACACAGAGACCATTGTTGGCTCTCCTACAGGGGCCAGAGAATCCATGTTGACTCTTGTGCCCACATTGACTAAACCACTCAGACACTGCTCAGGAACTACTGGAACTAAAGCAGGTCCAAAGGTCACCAGATTTCTAAAGCATTTTTATTATTCACTTATGGGATGTGGCTGTCATTGGCCTGGCCAGGCCATCCCTAATGACCCACAGGACAGCTAAGAGTCAACCATATTGTGGTGGGTCTGGAGTTACGTGTAGACCACACCATATAAAGTTGGCAGTTTCCTTCTCTAAAGGACATTAGTGAACCCAATGGATTTTTCTGACTGTTAGCAATGATCATCACGATTATCACTAAACTTCTAATTCCAGATTCTTTATCAAATTCAACATCTGTATGATGGGATTTGAACCTGGATCCCCAGAACATTA